AAACTAACCTCACAGGTACCTACCTGACCCTAAACTAACCTCACAGGTACCTACCTGACCCTAAAACTAACCTAAACTCAGTTCATGCCTTGGTCCTAAACCCAACCCCCACACCCTAAATCAGCCTCTGAAGTCGTGGGGACCGGGCTTTGGTCCCGACAAGGCGCATTCCGTCCCCACAAGGCTGCATTTTCCTGAAAAACCGTCCCCACAAAGCAGCAAAAACAAGGGCACACACACACCCTCCAATCCAAAGTTCTGGTTAAACATTGGCCCAAAGTTTGCTTTCTGCCTTCTGCTGTTTTTACGCTGAAGGTCCATCAATTGTTGCCGCCATTATTGACTTAGTAATTAAAGTATTTTAACGTGGGGATTCTGTAATCATTACATTGTGCCGCCATCTGTTCCTGCACTGCTGCACCTGAGATGGATTTTTTTTTTACTCCTGTGTAAAAAACGTAAAAAATAACAAAAACAAACAATCAGGAAAGGCGGAGGAAGGACGACGTCGCCACCGTTCATTAAAACAGTTAAGATAAAATACTTAAAATGTTATTTTACTTATTTACAGCCCAACACATGGTCTTTGTCTCTGCATATGTTCATTTAGCTGTTAGCAAAATATCTCATGAACTACTGAACGAAACTCTACACAATTCAAGATGGCCACCACAGCTAATAAACACTAAAATGGCTCTAACGCAGTTAATTTTACAGATGTTGAGCTAAAATTTGGATCACAACTTTGATCTGTGACGTGCAATATGCATTTCTTCAAGGAATACTATTTTAAATTTCCTATTTCCTGTCAATCAGGCAGGAGTCTTTGCTCGTCTAGAATTAAAAATAAAAAAATACGATTTCCTTAACTTAAAGTTTTCATTCCTAAAACAACTAAAAACAAAAGGCCGAAAACAGAAAATATTTGTTTGAACGTGTGTTGCGCAAACATAATCTGTTTTTTAAAATAAGTTTTAGAAACAGATTTTTGTCATTTTTGTCTAAAGTTTGTTTTTCCAGTAAACAGAATATTTGTTCACGTTTACAGAAGAAACACAGCAGCTGTCAGAAATAATAACCTTGTAGTTTCTTGAAAGCAAACGCGCTCTGTCGTCCTCCAGAGTTTTGGATTAATTCAGAGATCTGGAATGTGAAAACGCCTGCAGCTTTTAGTCCAAACTTTCCTCTCAAATCCTCGTAAAGCATCTGAGACATCAGCAGGTGAGTAAACCCGACAGCGTATTTAAATAAGACAACAAACACGGTTGCAGAAAGGTTCTGAGCTGCACAAAGATCCAGAATCTAGTTTTATTTTACAGAAAAGAGCCGTCAGAATTATCACCAGAAAACATTACTGTCATCCATCGAATATATTATTCTTTAAATTGAAATTATTAAAATTTTATGAGCAGTTTGATTATAATATCTTGCAGATTATAAAGCTCATAAAAAATTACCTTTAAACATTCAGTTATATTTTAAGAGAGAAAGTTTATATAATCTTTAGGGACTTGAGATGTTTATAAAACCTAAAATTTGAACAAATTTGAAGGATCGATGCACTTCAGTTAAAAGAATAAGATTGTGTAATAATCTGGAGAGTGATTATAAAAATGTTGGTTCAGTGTGTTTAAGAGAATGATAAATTAAAAGTTTGTTAAGGAAATATGAAACTGTATATCCAAAGTTGTTGTTTGAACAGGAATTGAAGTTTTTATTTTTGTTTTGTTTTTTTGATTATTGTTTGAAATTAATTTAGGAAAAAAGGGGCGGATACAAGAATTTTTTCTTCTTTCTGCCTCCTTTCATTTCAAGTGTGATTTTTTTTTCTTTATTCTGTATAAAGAATCGTAAGAGAGTAAAGAGCACGTACGGTTTACAGACAGTGTCATAAACCTGCCTCGTTTGACCTTTTATTGTGTCCCATCTGGTCCGAGCTCGTGGCCTGAAGAGGAGGCAGGAGTTCAGGTTTTTACGGAGCTCACTGTTAAAAGCTCATTCACAGATGTCCTCTCTGCTGGTTCTGTAACACTTTCATCGGAGTCATATCTCTGTCTGCTCCACAGGAAAAGAGGCGTTATCAGCTCCTCAATACGGACTGAGCAGACCAAGTTTTTATCCTCATATCTTATTATCTGTATTATTTAAACCGCACTTTGTAATATTTAGAGATACTTAACCTATGGGCTGCGGCCAGGGCCTCAAAAGAACAACATTTTTTAACTTTGGGCCGCAGAGGGTCGTGGGACCACATTGATTTAAAATAAAGTGCAATACCCTTTCTCACCACTAGTAGCAGTAGTGCACAACTCAGATGTTTGTGTTTAACAACTTTTTAATATGTAGAAGAAGAACCTTAGAAACCTGCTGAGAATGGAAACCTATTTTAAAAGAAAACTAGAAGCAAAAATGAAAGTAACTCATCAAAAACACCAAAGTTTGTTGCTAATATGAAGAACAGCTTCTGTTTTTACC